CAGAGACAGACATAAAGAGAGGCAGAGACAGACACACAGAGAGATAGAGACACAGAGAGACAGGAGAATTAACCTTCCACATCTCGAAGGTTCACGTTCAGGTTTGCTTTTCAGGTAGGAGAAGAAGCAACTTTCTGATGGAGCTGGAGGTCTGTGGTGGATTGGGGAGGCAAATGGGGTGTGGGGGAGGTGACACCCAGGTCCCTGGCTCATGTCCAGGTTGTACCCCACCCCTTCCCACCTCCACACAGTGCCAGGCAGATCCTAACTGGTGCTGCGGTTTAGGGCACTCCCTCCACCCCCACTGTCTCTGAGGCATAGCCTGCTGTTTGCTGCTGTCCAGGCCCTGTCTGTGAACCCTCCTCCTTTCTGCTTGTCTCTGATGCCCTTCAGCATCCTGCCTGGGGCCGCCTTCCTGTGAGCCCCACAGTGTGCAGATAAGCCAGCACCTCCACCTCCTTGCCAGTCTGCAGTGCTCTGCCTGCCTCTCTATGCTGCCTGCCTTGGCACCAGGGCACTAGCTGATCTCTGGGACCCCAGGCCTGGGGCCCTCATGTCTCTGCTGAGCCATCGGCTGCTGTCTGGCAGCCCGTCCCACTCCAGGAACCTGGACACCATGACATGCACAGACTGTGCAACTGGAGGAGGTGACTAAACCTCTCTGTGCTGTCACGTCCCAACCCATGAAGTGGTGGGGATGATACCCGACTTATTGTCAATAGTCTCCATGAAGCCCCAGGGACACACCAGACACCATACGAGGGCTTCTCAGACATTCTCCCTGATTTGGTAATTACTCTTCTGTAATTACCTCTACTCGCTTAGCTGTAATTTATGTAATTATTGTCTCTACAGAATAATGCTCAACATTCATTATTGCTTGTGGACATAAACCATGCAGCTCTGGCCGCAGCACGTAGTAGGACCTTCATAAATGGTGACTAACCATCATCTTACAGCATAGATGTCAACTGTTATCTACAGTCTGGCCAAGAGAACAGGAAGCCGCCCACCCCCACCCTGCCTGGCTCCTGTGATGTACGACATCCCTGTGACTCAGCCACCACTGCCCAGTGCCCGCTGGGGCCACCTACCCGCTGGTCTGCAGTGCCAGCTCCTTCCCGTCCTCCACGGGATCCATAATGATTGCAAACATTTAGGAGTGTGGAGGGGCCCCGAGGACAGAATTATTTTTACTATCAAACGCAAATTGGTTTACTAAAACTGTCAGCAGAAACCAAGCGAGATAAATGAGACCCGGCAGCTCGGGGCCCCTGGAACCCTAGCTGAGGATCTGCTTCTCTCGCTCTCTCTGTGGAAGGAGGAAGTACTGTGGCTGATGCCACTTCAGGAGCAGGAGCCAGAGCTTACCAGCGACAGCTGCAGGTGGTGGCCTGAGCACTGCTTTCCTTCTGAAAGCTGTGCTCCCACGCTGGGCTGCCGTTTGGGGAAGCTCAGCCTCCCCAGCGCAACCTGCAAGGCCCTCTACATTTACAGCCCCTGAGGCTCACGTTTCATGACTCCTCATTGAGCCTCCGACCCACAGGGTTTTGCTCAGCTCTGCTCAATGCCCCACAGACAAGGCACACAGGGTTCAAATCCAAGCTGAGCCAGGGTTCTTCAAAAGGTTCTCTTTTTACCTCTCTATGCCTCAGCTTACTCGGCTGAAAAATGGAGATGTAACAGATCCCAGGGCATGTGCTCAATGTGAAGAGGGCTGGGATGCAGCAGCAGGAGCAAGCAGTGCAGCAGTGGATCTCAGCATGGGCTGCTCCTCCAGGTCGGCCTGAGTGAGGCTCTCCCCTGCTTTTGCCCACCTTGTCTCTGTCCCTTGAGTCTCAGCATGGACAGGGTTTCTCCCTAGGCATCTCTGACATTTGGTCAGCTGCTTGGTTGTGGTAGGAGCGCCCTATTGTGCTTAGAGCACCTGCTCTGCACCCATGGGCACCGAGTGCATCTCCCAGTAGTCACAGTTGCCAGTACGCGACACTGGCAGGGTCCCAAGGTAGAGAAGGAGCTTCCTGGTGGAGAACAGCTGCCTCTGAAACCACTTCCCCAGAAAGCTTTCTTTGCATCTGCTCCCGGCCTCGAGCTCCTACCTTGGGGCTGGGCCCCAGTGTATCCTGTGGCTCCAAATATGTGGCTCCCAGGGCCATGGGAACCTGCCCAGCTTGCAGCCAAACAAAATGAACATCAACTCTTGAGTTTTTGGTGGAGATGCATGCATGTAGGCTGATACAGGATGCAGAATTAGAAATAGCCAATAGAGAGCAGAAGCAGGAACAGGACCAGAGGGGAGTCCCTGTAGTAACCCCGGGCCATGATGATGGTGGTGTAGACTGCGGCATGAACAGTGCTGAGCTCAGAAGGGCCTGGATTCCGGGTGTGCTTTCACCTTTGAGGAGAATCAGCAGGATTTCCTGAAGATTTGGATGCAGAGTAGGAGAGACAGAAGAATCCAGGTGGCAGTGGCCGTGCAGAAGCCAGCTCTCCTCACACTGCAGAGTCCACCATTCAATGTGCAGGCATTTGGCGAGCCTCTATCACCACTTTGACACGGGCCATGACAGAAGCCTTTACACCACAGAAATTAGCAAGTGCCTCAGAGCAGGGTGCGGCTGCTGTGTCTGCTCGGTGAGACCCGCAGGTGTTGCCTCTACCAGAGTGTCATGGGGCCAGATTAATGCCCCGGCTGGTTGGACTGCTTTGCTTTTGCCTGAGCAGCCGGTACAATGCATTATTCCTTACCAAGGTGGGGAAGATGGCAGGGACCAGGGACTGGGGAAGAGATCTGTATGTGGTGCATTGGGGGTGTTCTTCAGCCATCATGCTGTCCAAGATAAACTTCAGGGCTGAAGGAAAAACTACCGAAACCTTCTCAGAAGCCTACAGTCCCATTGGCACAGGGCAGACACCCAAAAGTTCTGTCTAGAAGGGATAAAGGAGTACCTGATTCTGGACATGAGAGGTGAGGGGGAAGAGCAGGGAGAGAGGCTGAGAAGAGTGTGGAAGAGGAGGGGAGAAAGGTTGGGGAACATGGGGAGGAAAGAAGGGGCAGGGGACAGGGGGAGAGAGAAGGGCCCGGAAAAGACAGAGAGAAGGATATGGGGAGAAGGAAGCAGCAGAAGCAACTGGAGGGGCGAGGCCACCACCGAGAGAAAGGTCTGTGGCAAGGAGCAAGAGAGAGGGCTGGGGCAACAGCTCAGGGAGAGGTGTTTGGGAGAAAGACAGCAAGACAGAGAGTGGTTTGGGAGGAAAGGTAGAAAGAGAAGGAAAGAGGTTAGAGAGAGAAAGGCTCTGGTGGAGGTAGGGTGAGAACCAAGGGCTTGTGGGGGGGGGAGAGGAAGATTTGGGGAGAGCTTGGAAAGATGTTTGTGAGGGAGGTTCAGGAGAGAAGCCTTCTGGGAAAGTGGGCTTGGGGTAGTGTTGGGGTGGGAAGGGCTTCCAAGAAAGAGGTTAGAGTTGGGAATACCGGGGGACAGGGGACAGGAGAAGGAAGACCTTGGGGACAAGAAGTTAGAAGACCTTGGAGAGAGAAGTGAGAGGCAAGAGGGGTTCTTGGGGTGGTGAATTAAACAGCGATAGCTTTGGGGAGTGGGAGCCACTGTAAAAAGCTGAGAGAAGGGAGAGGTGGAAGGAGAGGGGAGAAAGCATGAACAAGAAGGGCCTAGGGAGGAGGGCAGACTGTAGAGCACGGGAAGGCTGGGGTGCGTGGCACCTGCCTCTGTGGCCACAAAACACTGGCGTTTTGAGGCCCCCACAACAGAGGAGGAAAGGACTCGGAGAAAAGCTCCCATCACCTGGCTAGCAGGGGAGCCATGGGCCCTTCCCCAGGCTGGCTGCACACTGATCCAAGGCTACTTCTGTGCCTCCACAGACAGCTTCAGGAGCCAGCCAGCAGGTGCCTGACAAGAGTCGCCTCCTCTCCGTCGGCCCTGGCCTCGTTGCCCTCAGCCACCTGCTCTGCCTGGAGGGCCTCCTTTCTCCAGCTTTCTCCAGCAGCTGCCATCTGGCTCTGTCCCCATCTCACCCCGTCTCCCAGGGCAGTGGAAAGGGCAGGGAGAGAAGCCACCAAACCTGGCTTTCAGCTCTGCACCTTGCTAGCTTCACGGCCTCCCTGGACCTCAGCAGCCTCCCCCTGTACTCCTTCCAGTCAGGTTCCTTAGGAGGTGACCTTACCATAATTTTTCAGGGCAACCACCTCTGAAGCTTGCCCAGTGTCCCCAACACTCACCCGCCTAAGGAGCTGGGGGAATGGGCATTTTGCATAAAGCCTCCAATGGCTGCTCTCACAGAGCGCGGGCAACAGATGCACAGTCCACAGGACATAGTTCCCTCCAGAGATTATTTCCTGAGCTCCTTCTGTGTCACGCTTTGTGTCAGACTCTAGACACAGAGAAGTAGCAGCAGATCCTGCTGTCAGGGGACCCTCTGGTCCAGCGGGGGACAAAGATGGGGAGCGAGGGGTAGAATGTCCTTCTCTTGCTGCCTACATGAGCCATTCAGGCCTTTATATCTGCCTTTACCACAGGGGCTTTGCACATCCTGTGCCATTGGTTGTACCTCCAGCTCATCCTTTAGTTCTGGGCTGTTATCTCAGATCCTTGGGGAGGCCTTTTCTGCCTTTTCTCTTTTTTTCTGACTTTCATCTTTAGCTTAAATTCCCCGTACAGATCCTCATAGTGCCTTAAGCCTTGGTGCTGCTAACTGAAGCTACAGCGTGTGGTTCTTTGTGCATGCGCTCATTTGACACCATAGTGGGTGGAATTCCTGAAGACAGGGACTGTGTGCACGCTGCTGCTGTTGCCGGTCCCACCATGGGGACCCCAGGGCTGTTCCCAGGCCCCAGCACATAGTAGGCACTTCATTAATGCTGGCTGAAAGAATGAGGCAGAAACAACTTCTTCCCCAATCTATTCCCAGCCCGGCTGGATTGCACTGTGTGTGTGTGTGTGTGTGTGTGTGTGTGTGTGTGTGTGTGGCACCAACAAAGCACTCACAACTGGATATCTAGGAAGATCCGCTTCTCTTCTCCTACGTGGATCTTCCAGACACAGTCTTCACCCTCCACATAGGGCTCTGGCCAGTTTGGGGACAGCACCACCCCAGCCACAGCAGACAGCTCCCCACCACACATGGCTGGAAGAGACAGACAGTCAGACAGACAGACAGACAGACAGACAGACAGACTTATATTTGTAAGGAAGCAAAGAAGGCACAGTGGTTGGGGGCATGGGCTGAGTCAGAGTGTGGACCCCTTCTGCCGCAGTCGGGTGCCTCTGCTCCCATCAATTAGTGCGAGTGGGTCAGGTGACAGAGGGCCAGCTGGTCCCTGCCTGCTCTTGGCAGAGGGCTGGCGAGTAGATCTAGGAGAGGGCGGCGCTTTCAGCACCAAGGACAGAGCTCGAAGGGCTCCCTGCGGGCTTCCCTCCACTCCAGATGGAGCACTCCTGTGGGGCGCCTGGGATGCAGTCTTGTCTTCGCTGCCAGTAGGCTTGGTGACAAGGTGTGTGACTTCCTAGAGGGTCAACTTGCTCCCTCCACATCACCAGGGAAGCACCACGGCTGTTCACAGGAGGCCTGACTACGCTCAGGCGCTCAGCACTCAGCACAGTGCCTGGCACGGCAAGGGAGAGCGCTTACTGGCCTAGGTAAGGTCGCTGTGAAAGGTTCTGGCTCTGGGAGGGAAGCAGAGAGGTGGCCACATCTGGTGTCCTTTCAGATCCACCGTGTTTACTGCTTTACCACTTTGGAAAGTTCTCAACACGGCTGAGGCCAAAGCACCAATAAATTCCACGGTGTTAAACCAGCACATTTAATACAGGGATCACTTCCTCACCATGGCAAGAGTGTGATTTCATCCAGTGCCAAGCAGGCAGTGGCTGCCAGGGGCCAGGACACCCTGTGTGACCGCACCTGCCACCAGGAGCATCAGGCCCAGGCCTGCTCAGCAGCCAAGTAGTGGACAGGGCTGGGGAAGGGCAAGTCCCTGGAAGCTCTGCAGACAAGGGCTCCATGTGGCAGGCAGGATACAGGGGGGCTTAGAGCAGAGACCTCTGGGAATAGGGAGACCCAGCTCCCACGCCCGCCTCTGTCAGTTACCCTGGGGGCCCTTAGGAGGCCTAGGCACATTGTTCTTGTCTGCAAACAGGGCTAATAATATCTGCTTCATTGAACCACACTAGGATGAAGCCAGCTAATGAACACACAGCCCCTGGCAGAGCGCCTGTAATAGGGTGATGACGTACCTATTTACATCTATTATTAGCCCGTTAATGAGATTCAGGGCTGCCTTGTGCTATTGGGTGAGCTGTATGTCACACGAAGGTGCACAGTGCGGGGACGGGGGTATTTAAGAGCTGTCGTGCATGCAGTGATGTGCTCAAAAACTTCCGCAAACATCCTGTCCCTGGAGGAAGGGGTACCTTTTAAAATTTATCCATTCTGTACCTTCCCCAAGGACCAGCAGCAAGCCTGACCCACAGGATGGCGAGCCGTGGAAAGGGTGTGTGCACCCCAGCCCCACTTGTAGGCTGAGGCCCAGCCTCTCAGCTGAGGGGTGGAGGCCCCAGGGGTGCCCACTCACCTCTGCACAGGGGCTCTGTGTCGTTCCAGTATGGGTCACGCACATTGACACATTCAATGATGGCAGGCCCCTGCTCCAGAGAGTGTCCGGGGTCGCAGGTGAACTCCACTATGGTCCCGATGTTGTAGGTCGGGTCAGATGTGGTGAAGTTCCCATTCTGGATGTAGGGCTCGTAGCAGTGGCCTTTCTCAAAAGCTGCATGGGGACACAAAAGGGGCAGCAGCTGGGATGAGTCCTTTGTGCTGCCTTTAGAAGGCAGGTTCCCTCCTGCTGCTCAGCAAGGTCCCAAGGAGCAGGGTGTGTGCCTTGAGCCCAGCTCTCTGGGACAGAAGAATGGGAGGTTAGAGCCCAGTTTGGGCAGTTTAATTATTTAGTGAGACCCTATCTCAAAATAAAAAATAAGGGCTAGGGCTGCTGCTCAGTGCAAAGGGAGGGAAGGAGGAGGATAGGAAGCTCCAGGGAAACTGAGGACCCCAAGGTGTGTTCTGGTTCCCATCAAATCACAAGACCCCACCCCCAGCCCTGTGCTTGGATTCTTGGGACCTTGCTGCTTTCCTGTGTGAAAAGCCAGTGTCCTCCCATGGTGGCCCATCACTCATCACTGGAAGCCCCAGACTGTCTATGGTCCAGATCATCCCTCTGGGGAGCTGGGACAGAAAGTGCCCAGGGTGCATGAAACACAGAACAGACTTCTTCTGGGTCCAATAACTGCCTGGGGGAGGGGATAGCTGGCCGTTGGAGGAGCTGGGCGGGATGGGGCAGAGCAGGAGGGTCCTGTGCAGGCTGCCCAGAAATCTCAGGCTCTGTCCTGACTGACTGAGGCTTCACAAGCCATCCCAGCCCTGTACCTCAACTGAAACCAGACCTGATAACAACACTAATAATTCAGAGTGGTGAGGGTCACAGAAAATGTGCCAAAGCCAGGCAGGTTGGGTGGTGCATGTTTGTAAATTCCAGCTACTCAAGGGGCTGAGGCAGGGGGATCACAAATTTGAGGCTAGCCTAGGGAACTTAGTGGCAAACTGAAGAATCAATCCGCCTGCCAGGGTTTCTCCTCAGCAACCCATCTTTCTCCTCCCAGGCACACACTCAGGAGCCCCCAGGACCCTCACCCTCAAAGCGGATGTTGAAGGCCGAGGCCACATGACCCTGGTCGGATGAAAACTCAATGCGGATGCTGTTGCCTTCGCTGAGCAGTCCCTCGAAGGGGACGCTCTCGGCCTGCAAGGAGTCGTACAGCAGGGCGGACTTGTTGGTGTGCCCACTATACACCGTCATCCTGCAGGGAGAGAGCAGAGGACGTCACTGAGTCATGGGCCTGTGACACTGGTGGTGCAGGGGGCTCTGCCGTGCTGCCATGCTGGTGCCTCTCCAGGGCTCATGCCCCGCCTGGGCCTCTTTCTTGCCAGCATAGGCAGCTTCACTGGGTGGAACCTCTTTTCACTTTCCTGGAATAGATTAATGATCACCCTACACTCACTGTCTTCTTCTGTCTTTTTTTTTTCTTTTGTGTAGTAGTGGGGTTTGAACCCAGGACCTTGCACTGAGACACCACTCCCCAGCCCTTTATTATATTTTATGTTGAGACAGCATCTTGTTGAGCTGCCCAGGCCAGACTCAAACTTGTGATTGCCCTGCTTCTGCCTCCTGAGTAATGGGAATTTTAGGAATGCTAGGCTCCACTTTTCCTGGAGTTTTTTTTTTTTTTTTAAATTTATGAGAGAGAGAGAGAGAGAGAGAGAGAGAGTGTGTGGTGTGTGTGTGGCCAGCTCAGCCCACCAGGGGGCGGGGCTGGCTGGCATGTGGTGCTGGGGGATTGAACCCGCGGTCCCTGATGCTTTGCCAAGCTTGTTCTAAGTAGGTGCTTTAGACCACTGAGCCATCTCTCCAGCCCCTTTCCTGGAGTTTTTAAACAGATGTATTTGGCAGTTGCAGGGAAAGTGATGTGTTTAATATAGCTGATGAATCAGATGAATTAACTAATGTTGATTATTATTAGTAATTAGGAAGTTGGGAATAATGGACTCCGATCATTGCGGAAGAATGGCCTCTCTAGTTAGGCAGACCAGGGTGAGTCCCAAGCCCGTAACTCCCAAGCTGTGTGACCTAGGACAGAATACTTCATCTCTCTGAGTGCTGCTTCTCCTCTGGAGGATGGGCTCACGCAGGTTTCCCTGGAGCATGGGGCTCGAGAGTGCGGTGTCTGGTGTCCGAGGCAGAGCAGGTGTAAGTCATATTTCTAACCCATGGGACTCTCAGGGGCTGTCCCTGACTCTCCTTTTCTGGGAGAGCTAAATAGGGAGTGAGTAACCCTCATTTCTGGTTCCCAGCTTCACACCAGCGGAGTTCACCCAAGTCTCAAGACACCTGCGGGCCTCCGTTTCTTAGCTGTGAAACGAGGGTTCCTAAGGCCTTGCCTTCCTACCTTACAGGTGGACTTGATAATGGATCAGAACAAAGTGCCCTGGACAGGAAAATGGGGTAGAAAAGAGGTTGGCTGCTCATTTTTACTGTTATGAAAGCTGTAACACTTGACTCATTGCTAGCCCAGGCAGTTTAAAAGAAATTATGCAAAAGTGGGGAAGAAAACTGTTCACAAATTAGGTAAATTTCTTTTATGGTGTTATAAACACACGTTTTTAATCCATTGAGGTTTTTTTTTTTTCTTTATTGCCTACATAAAAAGGGTTTATTCGATGCCAGTCAGATGAATTTCTAACGCCACCAGGATACATAGAGGCTGGAGCCATGGTTTCTCTTCTGACCCATGTCCAGATGGCGGTGCGGGCAGGGGAGGTGGCCAGCGACTTCCTGAGGCACAGAGAAGGTGCTTCTAGCTCTGATCCCTGCTAATTCTGCTGGGCTCCTGGAAGCTTTTTTCAAAGATGAAAACTTCATAAACAGGGTTATTTTGAGAAAAACCTAAGATTCCAAAATCTCTAAAGTCCATTCATCAAGAATCAACCCCCAGCCCCTTGCAGGACTTCTCAGTGCCTTTGCTGGCTAATGTGTGTAATGGGAGCTTCTGAGACATGGCAGACACACTCTCCCCAACACAGTTGATCAGGTAACCCATCTGTGCATTGCCTGTAGTAGAGCAGGAGCTCGGAAAGTCATCAGTGATGGGGAAATCACGGGGAATTCTTCATGTTTCTTTTTTCTTCTTCTATTCCAAATCCTTTCAAGGCTCTCTATAGAAATAGCCTGCTATGTTGGGGCGTTCAGAACGGAATCCTCATCTCTTTCCAGTTCTGCGCCTCTGCTGCAAACCCCCTGCTACGGCCTCACTAACCCTTCTCTTCCGGTCTTTCTTCTCCCGCCTTGAGTCTCTGCAGCTGGAACGCTCTTCCCATGGGATTTCTGGCTTCCTGGATCCAATCTCTTCCCGATGTTTAAATCCAAGCCCCATTTCCTATGTGAAGTCTTACCAAGCTCCGAGATCTTGCAACTGACCTAGAGTGGAGTTCTAGCCATTTTTACCCTGTGAAGCACACAGGTAGACGCCCGCACTTCTCCTTTCTCCGGGGCGCTGCCAGCGATCTCCATCCAGGCTTTTATGGCTGCCCTTCAGCCTCGGGCACGACATGGACTTCCTCCCCCGCTGGCACCTCAAGGGCCAGTTTCCTTGGTGATTCCCACGATCTTTGATCTTCGCAGGCCCAGCTGAGGGAGTGGTGCCCTGTGCTCCGCTGGCCCGATTGTGAGGCTCCAAGGAGCTTTCCGGCGTCGCTGACTTCGGCCTCGTGCTCACTGTCCAGAGTAAACTTCAGCTCTGTTCATCACCAGCACCTCTGAGTGAGGCAGGCCTGAGGCTGACGTGCTAGAAAAAAATGTCCTCTGCCAGGGTTTCCATGTCGGGCTTCTCCATCAGAGCCTCCCGGAGGAAGGGCTGGGGGCCCATGGAATGTTCTGATACCACTGAGAAGCCCCCTTCTGCCAAAGATGCCACGACCTAAGAACTGTGGCCACAGTGGGTTAGGTTCCTTAGTTCTAAGGCACTGACATCAAAGAAGGGGGGAACACAGTGACAGTGCCTCTGGCCTGCTCTCCATGCTCTTGTGGGCTCTGTGGCTTCCTGCCCACCCAAAGTTCCCAAGGGGCCTCCAGCCCAGCCAGCTCAGAGGACTGCAGCAGTGCCAGGGACCTTGGGGACCTGGAGCACTTTTTCTCCTGGTGGCAGATTGGGGCTTGTGAACAGCACCCTGGCCCCCACATGCTGCCAACAGGACCCCTCTCACACCACACCCCAGTGCCCTCATAGGTACCACTGAGCCACCCAGCCGCTCACGCATGCTAACATGTCCTGTGCTCCCCACTGGCCTTTCCCTCCCCCACCAGTGCCTACAAGGTCCCACTCCTAAATCTGTCCTTCATGTCCTGGTCACACATCTGCCTCTAGTGGGACCTGACCTCAGAGAGCAGGGCTAAGCAGAAGAGCTCCTGGTTTCCCTGATTCCACTGGAACCAAGTGGGAGAGCTGTACAATTCTGGGTTCTACGCATTTCCCACAGAGCCTGTGGATGTGCTCTGGCTGTGATGCTGCCCAGTGACCTTACCCTCCCTCTTCCCTGTGCACCAGCCTTGTTTTTCCATGTTGGCATCCTGTCACACTGGAGCCCATCTCCTCCAGCACAGAGCCACAGGTGAGCAGGACACAGGGCAGGTGCCTGCAGGTACTCCTTCCTATCCAGCTGCAAAATGCAACATGCAGGAGAGAGATGAGGCAGCAGGCGGGAGCCTTGACTCCCTCCTACCTCTTTTTGTCACCTGCCGTGTGACCCAGGCAGTTCCTTTTCCTGGTGTGTATCAGAAAGGGGAAAAATGGGAGCTGAAGGACACTAGGGTCATTGCCAGCCTTCCCAACTCCATCTCTCTTGGAGTCCAGGAGCCAAAGCTTTTGTCACTTCAAGACTATGGATTCCCAGGGACATTCTGATGCTTTGGGAGGGAAAGAGGCTGAGCTGGGGGAGCCTGAGCCTGTCAGGGCTGTGCCTGTCAGGACTGTGCCTCCCAGGGCTTTACCTGTCCTTGTCATGCAGCGACAGCCTCTCAAAGTGCAAGTGCAGCTTCTGCCCCTCAGGTGCTTCAATGGTCCATGTGCAGAACTGGCTCCCGTTGCTGCTGCCAGGGTGGCTGGGGGAGAGGACACGGCCGATGGTGGCGTTGTGCACTGCTCCTCCGCAGGGGGCTGGGTCCAGGAAGTAGGGGTGGGAAGGATGAGGGTGGTGTGGGGATGGGAAGGGGAGAGAGAGAGAGAGAGAGAGAGAGAGAGACAGAGACAGAGAGACAGAGTCATTCTCTCATGTCCCAGCACACCCCTAGCTAGGAGGAAACATAAGGGACCATGCTAGGCCACTGTGGCGAGAAGAGTTAGGAAGAGTGACCTGTCCTGGGGCAGGAGACCACCCCCATAACTGGCGTCATCTGCACATGTGTGTTGCATTGGACAGGACTCAGATAAGGACTTCCTGGGGCCAGCAGCACCCTAACTTTTGTATATAAGATGGTCCTGCAGGACATAAATAGGCAGCTCACAATTGAAGCAACACAAGGTTAGAGCTCAAGACACACTGACACAGTTCAGCCCCACTAATGATGAAAGAAATGTAAATCTAAAGCGTGTTCTGCTTTTATCCACCTAGCCAGCCTAGATGAAAAGCAGCAATGAGATCTAGAGCTGCTACAGAGAAACGACCAGGCTTGTTCACGACTCATTAGAATGCAAGCCGTGAGGGGTGATTTAATGAAAAGTCTGGGAAATATGTTCAGATACTTTGACCTAAATTAGATTTCTGGGAACTTATCCTACGAAAAGATTTGGAGATTTGTATGCAGATTTATGAATGAGGATCTTCGTTGCTTCTTTCTAAGAGTTCAAAATAAAAACCCCACAAATATCTCCTCACAAATGTTTATGAAATAAGTATACCTCTATCCACAAGCTTAATAAACACCAGGTTTGAAAAGAATATTGTAGAGTATAAGAGAATGCTCACAGGGCTTTAAGTGAGAAAAACAAGTTAGAAAATGGGCTGTCATGTCGATCTCAATGAGCTGCTTGCATGGATCGGTTGGAATCACGAATACAAGTGATTTGCTTCTGTCTTTACACTTTCACATTTCTCGAAAAAAATTTTTCCCCAGAACCATATATAACTTTTATCATATAAATCTAATAAAGAAATAGCAGAAAGTGATTTGTGCTCCTGAAAGAGCACCTGCTCTTCTGCTTCACGAATCAGGTGGCATTCGGATCTAGTTTCGGGAGCTATTTGGTTCCTAGGAAATTGTTTTCCCGAGTGTTATTCTGGAGAGCTTCCTAGCCAGGGCAGAGCTGGTGGGAGCAGTGGCCAGTGTGGGAGGGAGGTTGTGGCATGCAGGGGTGCTGAGCGGCAAAGCCCTCCACGCCCTCAGGGGGTCACTCCCACCTTTCAAGGGCATTAAAGAGCTCGAAACTTCTCCCTTCCTAGGCACAGGTCCCAACCAAGGTTCTGCCTCCATCTTCCAAGGAATAGAAAGGCAGGAAGCAAAGGTTGGCTGTCACATGCATTTGGAAGCTGAGTGCTTCCAAAGGGCATAGGGCACTTCCTGGTAACACAGAGCCCTTCTCCCCATTCGCCGTCATCTGCAATGCGACTCTGTTTGCATTTTGCCGCCTTCCACTGCCCCCTCTGCTGCCACCCAATTTCTCTTCAGAACTCCTACCACCAACTCGAAATAGAACATCCATCTCTGCCTATCTGCTTCACCGGGCATCTCCCCGATAAAGTTTTTCAACAGATGGGTCTAGTTGTTGTTGCTGCTGCTATTGTTATTGTACCTCTGCACCAGAGGAGTTCTTGGCAGTACTATGCTCTCAAGCAACATTTACAGAGCAAACAGCAACTGTTTCTTTTTCAAGGGAAGAAGTTCAGAGAAGTTAAGCCACTTGCTCAAGGACACATAGCTAGTCAGTGGGGCACTTGGGACTCAGCCCAGCCTGTTTCACTCCAGAATCTGATGTGGAAACTACTACCCCAGCCCATGTCATATTCATGATGGTATTCTATTGTTCTAGCAAGGTGCCAGGGAGTATAGGGGGTGATTTATAAAGGTCTGGTGAATGGAAAATATGAACATTTTCTTCCTGTTTTGTACCTCCAGCTCAAGGTACAATACACAGTAGAATATTCATTGAGTGCTTATTGAGTGACTATATGATCAAATAAGATTTGCAGTAGAAGAGAGGTGGATGGTTCTTTTTGCTCTGGACTCCGCTATGACATTCAGCTAAGGTATTAACAAGGAGCGCCATGCTTTTTTCAGGACCACGGACAGGGCACGGGGACGTGCTCCTTTCTTGCTCCAGGTTCCCTTCTGGTCCTGAGTACACAGATTATCCTCTCAAATTGCCAGTCTTGGAGTTAAACCTGAGCTGTGGGTCTAGAACAACTGACCTGAGCTCTCTGAGCTGCGAGTTCATGTTCATTGAAGGGCACTAAGACCGCCACCCTCCTTCTAGGACTGCAATAAGGATTTGGTGAAGTGAGAGATTCCAGGGAGCGTGCTGCCTGAAGGGGCACTCATGACCCGGCCAGCACCACTGTCTCGTGGCTTGGGAGCCGAGGGCGGAGGACACTGTCCCCGGTGGGGCACGGCGGCCATCTGCCCTGGGCAAGCGGCTCACCTGCCGCCTCTCTGGCACTTCTCTGCCTTATGAGGCCAGCTGATGGCTCTGCTTGGCTCCAACATGCTGTCGTGGCTCCCCATCCATCTTTCTTAGCACAAATTGCGGCTTAATTCCTCTCTGATTTCTCACATAGATAAAAATTAACATGCGAGAAGTGTGGAAACCAACTGCCTTGCAGTTTGGATTTTTTTTTTTTTCTTTTGTTTAAAGAAAAGGGATAGAAAGAAAACATTCTAAGGGCTTGGGGGAACAATATGGCAACAATTCAATCTGGTGAGTTATCATCAGCTCTTATTTGGTCTTCAGATTCCACTTTACAATGAATGCCTGGATGGCGGAGATCACGTTGTGTCATTCCTCCATTCTCTTCTCGAGGGACTCAGAGCTTGGCATGTCACCATAGGTGCTCAGTTAGTACAGGCGATCTGCACTCGCGGGCTGTCATTGGGCCTGTGGGGGCCCCTTTATAGTTGAAATGCTCAAGGCTGTGCAGCAAGAGCACAGGGCCTCAAAGGCCACACAGAGCACGCGCTGCACAGGAGACCCTGTTCCAGCTGGAATTGCACGGCCCAGACGGTGCCCTTCAGCGGTCTGAGGGCTATGCTTTGAGTGGTGCAGGAGGGAGAGGAAAAGATCCAGGGAGATGCACCCTGCCTCAGCTCATGGCTCCCAGCTTGGGAGTCCCCATCCTACTGCATTCTCCACTGTGAGACAAAGCCCCGCCCATCTCATGTGACACTCTAGCTGTCCTAACTGATCACCATGGATCTGTGCCCTCCTCCGGAAACAGACTGCCACACAGGAGCCACAAAGCCCTTGCATACAAATATTCGCAGTGGCTTTAGTTATGAGTGCTAACAGGTAGAAGCAGTTGAAACAATCCACCCACTGAAGCATTTTTAAACAAAACGTGGCAGCTCCATACAGTGGAATATTATTCAGGTCTAAAAAGGAATGAAGTACCAGCCATGGTGCTGCCACATGGATGAACTTTGAGTTACAGCAAATGAGAGAAGCCAGACACAATACCCACATGTGGTTGGATGGGACTTACATGAAATAGGCCCAGTAGGCAAACGCACAGAGACAGAAAGCAGACTGGTGTTCACCAGGGGTGGGGCAGGGAGAATGGATGTTGGTCTAAAGGGTACAGGCTTCTGTCTGGATAAAGACACCCTGAAACTGGCCAGCAGTGAAAGTGGAACACACCATGGCTGTATTAAGTGTCTGTAATGGTGAAGTTCATATTCTGTGTAATTTACTCCAGTTGAAATAATTCAGTGGTAGCAGCATCTCAGGTCAGAGCGGCGTGCCCCCTCCCCCATAACCCGGAAGTTGGCTGCTCCCCAAATTTAGAGTGGGTTTGGCCCGGCTGGGCTGATGCCTACCTGAGCAGATGGGCTCCTGGCTGCTCCAGTGGGGCTTGGAGGCGTTGATGCAGGTGAGCATCTTGGCGCCCTGCAGCTCGTAGCCGAGGTGGCAGTGGAAGTGGGCCACCCCGCCTGAGTGCAGGTCCATCACCGTGACGTCCCCAGAGTCAGGCCGGCGGGGAAAGCTGCAGCTCAGCATGAAGGCTGAGGGGAAAGCAAAGGCAACACTGTCACCCTGCGGTGGCAACAGCGGCGGGGGTGGTGGGCCGAGGATGTGACCCACATCCCCAAGCAGAGCGCCTAGTGCTGAGGCCACAGAGAAGGGCTGGTGGAGTGGGAGGAGGGTATTTTTTGCCTGATACCGATTGGTGCAGAAGCTGCCAGATCAGCACCTTCTCAGGGCTCAAAACTCCCTGCTGCAGGGGCGGGAGAGCAGCTCTGGGGAGAGAAAATGAGCTTCTGCGCTCTTTGGAGCCTTTCTTCCTGCAAGCCCTTCTGTCCAGGCAGAGCGGAGGTACAACACCCCGCTAGGGGGTCCGGCCTAGTGCTTTGGTCTGAATGTTACAGACACAGATTCTCGGAGTAACACTTTGGGGAATGCCAGGGGTCGTGGAGCCTTAGAGCAATGCTCCTGGGAGGCCAGGGCGTGGGCTGTGGCTGAGACCACTGTGGGTCTCCACCCTCGCTGTGCCATTCAGAGGCCCTGCAGCCTGGAGACGCTGACTCAGCCCATGGATGTCACTTCCAGGGCAGCTGGTGCCCCTCCTGCCTCACAGGTGGTGCTTAAGAGGAGGGAAATGCCCACAGGAAAGACCCCCCTCAGCACAGAGCCTGGCACAGTGTCAGCCCTCAGCCAGTGGCCACTGAAAGGACATGTGCATCACGCTGAGACCCTCAGTGTTCCTCAGATGGTGGCATTTGCACTCCAGCTCTACTCCCAGACCGTGGTCTAGCTTCTTCCGGAGCATGGAATATGCACATCCTCATTTCCAATGCGTGAGGAGGAACCCATGCAAATTTAGGGTTCAATCAACTACTTGTCTCATGTTTGAAATGCATAGTGACACCCTAAAGTGGTCCTGATGCTGAAAAGATGTGATGACACCCCCCCCAAGCCAGCCTCCTTCCTCATACTCCCCTGAGGGAGAAGTTAAAATTCAATGGCTTTTTCAGATGTCTGAGCAATGTGCTGTACACGGACAGGGATCTTGGGAGCCGAGGTGTGGTTGGCAACCCCACAGTCCCTGCAGACAGTTTGGCAGTGGTAGATATCCAGGGTGGGGAAAGTGCTTTGTTAAGGGGAGGGGCAGCTGTGGCACAGACTGGGTGGAGGTGAGGAAATAGAGTGGCGAGGATGTGTAGGGGAAGAAAGGAAGGAAAGGAAGGGGACTGGAAGGGAGAGAAGAGAGAACAGAGGGTGGGCAGGAGAGGGGGAGAGGAGAAAAGGAAGCAAGAAGAGAGAGAAGGAAGGAGAAGGAAGAAGAGAAGAAAGGAGTACAATGGGCTTAAAGCAAACAGGGCACATGGGAAGAGAAGAAAGAAAACTTGGGGGAGGGAGAGAGCGAGCAAGCAGAAAGGACCTCACTTGTCTTCACTAACTTCCAACTGAACTTGCCTGTCCCCTTCCCTTAGAACTGCAGGCATCCGACTGCCATGTCTTAGCGGAACCTGAAACTTCGTTGCCAAGAGAGGCCCGAGTGGATTTCACATCGTAACCCATACCTTGACATGTTTCATATGCTCTTTGCTACCTTGAGATTAAAGTAATTATCAGAACCACTAGATGTTACTCAGCGTATGAATAAAGAAGCACAAGGGTTATCACACCATAGATAAGAATAATATTTTGACAACTGTAATTCAATAGGACTGTCTTATGCTCTAAAAAAACATTTTGAGAAAGGGTTTGATAGTTTTAGCAAACTGCCAGTAGGGTCCCTGGCACAAAAAGTATGAGAATTGGGGTCCAGGGGAAAGCAAAGACAAACACCTCGCTCTCCTCCCCCTTGGCCCATCCTACCCTGGTAGTGCAGCTGGAACGTGCCGAGGCCATCATCCTGGAAGGTCCGGAAGTACACGGAGATGGTGTTGGTAGGGCTCCGGATCACCTGGCCTTCCACCAGCAGCGTCTGGTTGGCCAGGACGGTTAGGGTGGGGCCGTCCACCCCTCGGATGGAGAGCAGCTCCCCCTCCGATAGGTTCACACTCTTCACCTGGGAGAGGCAGGGGCAAGAGAGAGCGTGCTGAGTTGTGCTAGAGATGGGGTCTCCCCAGGATGCTGAGGTCACGACCCAACCGGCCCTGATTGCTGGAGCACCAAGCCGGTATTGTGAGTTTGGGGGAGAGCCAGAGGTCAGACAGTGCCAGATCTGGAGAATAAGGCAGGTGAGAGTGCACTGCGGTTTCCACGAGCTTCTTTCTGCTTGGCACTCGGCACCCTCATTCACTATACGTATATATTATCACATCTAAAAGACTCTCACAAAAGAGAGCTTTCAGAACTGCTTTGGAACGTGGCAGGAGTGAAGGAAAAGCATGTTAGGAGCAAGGGGAAATGTTTCGAGAGGGATTAACAGTAATGTGTCTTTTACTGTAATAAAATCGTTAAAAAATGTAATCATTCGCTGTATTTTTGTTCATCACTTGTAAAAAATGAGTGATGGATCCAGTCTCCCATCTGCGGTAGGAACTGGCAAGCATGGGGCGGGGGCTGCAGTCTAGGGCCCTCTCAGGTCTGCTTGATTTCCCTCCCCCGTGGTGGTGGCTCTGACTTCAGGGGAATCAATCCCTTTTCTGAAGAACGATGCACTTGCTTTGTAATTTCCTCTTTCCAGGAGTGGAGAAAGGCCACCTGTAGTCATACCACAGGGAGGTTGGACAGATGGAGTGTGTGCGCATGCGCACGTCTGTGTGCGTGCACACGTGTGTTCGCTAAGCAGGGCATCAGGGGACTTTCATTCTGGGTAAAATGCCTTTAACTTAGCAATACACGCCCTCCGTGTGTTCTGAGCTATTTCAGTGAGGCACTGATTTGGGAACTCCTACTCCTTCACCAAAACCCGTCTAAGAAAGCCTGGTTAGAGCTAAGAGAAAAGCAAATACACAGCACAGTACCAATAGTAAGCCCGACTCAGACAACGCGCCAGTGAACTCCACTAGGAAAGGGAGCCTCGATGGAACCCTCCGGGGTTACCTGGAGCTCCACCCCGTAGCCAGTGTAGACAGTCACGTTGTACGTGCATTCCAGGAAGTTGTTGAAGGGCTGCGGTAGGTAGTCACTAGAGTCGATGTATCCCTCAGGGTCAGAGAAGCTCACGCTGCACAGGGCTGGGGGAAGACTTTAGTTAGGATTGCAAGGACTACAGAGACAGGAACTCACAGAAGGGCTGCGGAACGGGAAAAGGACGAGCCTGTAAAGGGCCGCCTCATCTTCATGCGGATCTGCGGGTGACTCTGCTCGGCGTCACGCACGCTGATGTTACGGTCCTGCATTAGAACCAATAAAAAGCACCGAGAGGGGCTGTGCCTAGGCCAAGCTCACACAGCAAGCGCCGTTCAGGAGCTCACTGTTTTTCCCTCTAAATCAGCACTGCGATCGGCCAGTGCTCCGCTACGGAGCTGCACCCCAGCTCCAGAGCTTACACTGCAGTAACAGGCCACAGGGCATTTGTGCCTGGCAGCTGGGGCCCTGCTCTCGTGGAAGCAAGCCTTGCATACACACGTGTGTCAGCTCAAGGCTCGAGAAATGCACAGGCACTACTGCCTTGATAGTCGCAGGACCGTGGGATCGCGGTTCCGGGACACCCTGGATACCGACGTCCTGTAAAGTGGTTTAGTATTCGCATAGACCCTCTGCACCTCTCCCAGCAGGCTTTAAATCATCTCCAGATGATGCACAATTCCTAAGACAAAGTGAATGCTGTGTAGACAGCAGTACCACGTGATTTAGGGCATAATGGAATGAAAAAGGTGTGTGTACGTCCAGCAGAGAGATGCAGGTTCTTTTCTGAATATTTTGAGCATTTGGCTGAGCGCGCGGACAGAGGAGCCCACAAACTCTGAAGTTCAGGTACAGTGGGAAAAGGCAGTCGTGTGGTGTGGGGTCTTGGAGTCTTAACTGTATCATCTTTAAAAAATGAGGATGTTAATCTGAACAGAGCCAGACTCTAGCTGGGCAGGGCTGTGGGCTCCCGGCCGCGAGGCTGCGTACCTGGAGCCTGCTCCGTGGTGATGACCGTGGTAGTGATGATGGTGGATGTGGTGGTCTCCTGGCTCTCCTCAGAGGCTGACCCGGTCAGATCGTTGTCACCCTTGTCTACCAGGGTGCTGAGGCTGGCGTCCTCAGGGGAAGCCTCCTGGGCCTCCTCTTGTGCAGGGGAGGCTGGGTCCCCTGGCCCTGGCCTCTGCAGGAGTGTGTGCGCCACCAAGGGTTCTGAGGTGAAGGGGGAGATCTGTAGGGGCTCAGGGGTTGTGGGCACTGTGGCCTGCTTGCCGTGCAGCCAGACTGGGCTCTCTGATGACGGCTGTGGAGGCACTTCTTCTTCCGTGTCCTCTGGTGGGCGGGGCTTCTCGGTGGAGGAGGAGCCAGGACCCGGGCCCACGGGTGCTGTGGGGTGTGCCCCAGTCCTGGCGGGATTGGCCAATGACAATGACACAAGGGTAGCCTTGGGCTTGGGTGGCTTCCGGGCCGAGGTCACCGGCTTGGGCGGCAACTTCTTCCTGGGGGCGAGTGTGTGCGTTGTTCCGGCCACCTCTGGGGGCAGCGGCAACAGGGCAGCTGGGTGGTGGTGTGCGGAAGGGACCGTCCCTTCCCGCTCCAGCCCCCCCAGTTCTTCCTCAGACTGTATGGGGTTCGGAGGAGCCATGGTGACATCGTCCTCAGGGCTGTCCTGGCTCAGGCTGCTGCTTTCCAGTGCTGCAGAGGGCAAGAGGTGGAGACTCAGGGATCCAGCGTGTCCCTCAGGTCCAGCATCTGGGTGACAGGAGAAAAGACACAGTGAGCTTGCAGCAGGGGTGGAAGCTGCACCCTCTACTGGACTTGGGCGTGTCTGGTCTTATGGTACCCAAGACTGGCTAGGCCTGGCCCCAGGCTGCTCCTTCCCTCCCACCCCTCAGTCACAAGAGTCTCACCATCTAGTTGTACAGGTACCTGGTGGGGCGAGGACAATCATGTTTCACACAATAACTGCTCAGAAAGAGAGGAGACAAGGAGGGCAGGCTTCTAACCTGTATGGCTGTCCATCTCCTGCTCACTGCACAAGGGTGTCCAGCTAAGAGCATGAGTAGAGAAGCCAACTAGGCTTCTCCTGGCTGCTCCAGCTGTGCGTCCTGGCTCAGAGTCATAGGGTCTTGAACAGGGAAGGACACTTGTTAGTGAAATAATATGAAAATAACCTTATGAGAGAAACGGTCCGACAATTCAGTTTCCTGAAGCAGATTCAGAAAAGGAGGGATGCATGGAGGCTGGGCTGAGGTGGGAACGCAAGAGGACCACAAGGGAGTGCAGGCGGGGGCTGATGGGAATAAGGCTGGTGAGGTCGCGGAGTGGGAGTAGGCTGTGACAGGCCCTGTCCACTCTGCAAGTGACTTGTTTTTTGTCTTCAAAGTAAAGCCACCTACAGTTATGATGGGGCCACAGCACACAGCTGAAAAGATCAGCGGGTGAAAATGCTTCGGACACACCTGATGGCCGAGCGCCTTAGCAATGGCGCGCTGCAGGGCGCTGGGTGCCTACTCTGGATTGTGGGGTGACAGAGCTGCAGTCCCTGTTGCAGTAATGCCAAAGAGGGCCACGCTGCATGGCACAGCGCAAGCCGGGAAAAGATGCGTATTCCAAATCCCACAGAGTGTTCCTACGGCACGCACGCTGCTTTTGCACCATCACAAAGTCAAAGAATCCTCGGTGGGCTGGAGTTATTTTATAAAAGGGCTGCTGCACGCAGCTTCCCGGCAGAACTGTGTTGGAAGTCAGCTTTGTGCCCTTGTTTGAGGCCTTGTGGGGTCCTGGTTTCTGGTCTCTGACCCTCGCTTTCCTCCGCTGTCACCTGGGGCCGCTGTTCCCCATTTTCCTGGGGCTGTCGTCAGAGCCTGTAGAGCACTTGGGAGGACAGTACTCGTTCTTTGTGAGTGCCAAGTAGGTGCCAGCTGCCCTCACAAGTTTGGTCATTGTCACCCCAACCCTCTGTGGGCTGGGGCAGACATAGAGAGAAGCTATACAACTGGGACAGAGGCCCTTGGACTGAAGACTGTGCGTCTTTTTCCTATAGAGAGGTGCTTGCTCACTCAGCCCATCTCCCGGCCCTTCGGCGCTGTCAGTTAAATTTATCTGAGCAGCCGCGGCTGCGAAGGGTCATTTACTTTCATGGAGTTGGCAGCAGCAGCTTCATCTATAGAGGGCAACAGTTTGCAGCCGGCAGCGACGAATGTGCTGTATACAGATTGGCTTCCAGGGAGTGTTCACTCCCGGGCCACAGGGACGTTTGCGGGCTGTAAGAAGGTGGGTCAAGGTCATTCAGGTGACAAGCAGGCTTTCTGGTCCAAAGTAGGGGTTTGTCTTCATAGTAAAATCACCTGGTTAGAGCCCTGCCTGCCACAGTCCCTAGCCCAGGGAGCCTGGCCGAGCCTATCCCCATTCCGAGGCTCAGCTCCCTCCTCTGCAGGGCTGCGGTATTCTGGCCACCTCAGAAGATCTGACGGGAAGTGAGGTTGCTCAAGGAACTGCAGCTTCTGTGCTGCTGTGGCTTTTATCCAATGACTGATGGGCCTGCCTCTGAGAATAGACACGGGACGAGAAGAGCCAGGGGTGACAGGTGAGGGCCCCCAGCTGCAGAGGCCCAGCTGCGGTTTGATGAAGAGCTCAGCTGAGGCCGGGGGGGGGGGGGACCTTAGCGGTGGTTCTGGCTTGGCCACTGCTCCCTGGCACAACCTTGCAAGTTTTCTGCTGCTCCCCGAGTGCTGACTGGGCAGCCACACTAGCTAGGACCCCAGGGCCCTTCCAGCTCTGATGTTATTTGGCTTAGAAATAACCAGGTAATTGACAGTTATTCTCAGAGCTACCGGTTAATTCTGCTGAATCAGGCACTGACTGATGACTTCTCTGGGGGCCCCTGAGCACCGCCCCTTCCCAGTTCCTTCAGTGGTAAGCATGGGGGAGAGGTGCATCCTGTCATGTCACCTGCACACAGAGATGACCAAGAGCAGCACAGTGCCCTCATGACCATAATGATAATCATATTGATAATATTTTATTTTGTTTGCTCTATTCAGTGCCCAATTGCTGCCAGGCATGTGTTAAATGCTTTTGTTATTGCGTTGAGCTCATTCTCCGATTCATTAGGTAGAAATTATTATACCTATTTTACAGATGAATAAATTGAGATTTTGGTGTACGAAGTGGCTTTCTAAGGTCACAGCAAAGCTGGGTTTTAATTTGAGGCTTTCCTGGCCTCAAAAGGCCATGCCACTAGCTATTGTAGGAAATACAGGGTCTTGCTTCTTGCTGTCTCCCTCTCAGCTTCAGTGGTGCCTTTTCTTTTGCTTGTCAAATTCCCAGAGGAGATACTCTACCAAATCCTGAATTCAGACTCACCAAGTCTGAGTTTCCAGCTGTGGTCTGGGGAAGTTAGAAATTGGAAAATCTCTTTTCTGGTTATTTTGTTTATTTATTTTTTAATCTTTTATGTATTTATTTACTTGGCACAGGGTCTGGCTATGAAGCTTGGACTTGTAGTGATCCTCCTGCCTCAGCCTCCCCAGCGCTGGGATTATGTGTTTGTGCTACCATGTGTGGTTTCGGTTGCCAGCTTGTTGCCTGGGGTTCTGGGGCTGGCACAACATGCAATACCAGGGATCAAACCCGAGTCCTTGCACTTGCCAGGCAGGCACTTAGACTGCTGAGCTATCTCCCCAGCCCTGATTATTTTTATTTTTTTATTTTTTGTCAGAACTGGGGATTGAACTCAAGCCCTTGCACTTGCCAGGCAAGTACTTATTCTACTGAGCCATCTCCCCGGCCCCCGTTATTTTGAAACATAGATTTGTGTGCACTATAATTGCCCCATCATGCCAGAGCACACTAGGATGGATCCCTAGTGTGACTAACTGCATTTGGTACTCGCTACCTACCCTCCCTCTATCCCTACTCCCCCAACCCTCCCTTGTCTCGAGTGACTACCATTCTACTCTATGATTTTAGTTTTACAAATGAGTGAGAACATGTGGCATTTGCCTTTCTGTGTCTGGCTTATTTAAGGTAAAATGCTATCTTTCAGGTCTGCCCAGATTGCTGAAAAATGACAGATGTCACTATTTTTAAGGCCTAATGGCATTATTCCGTTGTGTATATGTGTGTGTATGTATGTGTGTGTGTGTGTGTGTGTGTGTGTGATTGCACTTGTGTGCATGCACCATATTGTCTTTGTTTACCTGCCAGCTGAGGAAAACCTTGTTTATAGCCAGTAATAGGAAAGCTGGATCGCATGGTAGATCTAGCTTTAGTTTCTGGAGGAGCCTCTGTACTTTCCCCGCAGTGGGCTGAACTAATCTACATTTCTTTCTTTCTTTTTTTTTTAAATGTATTCTCTGTTGAAATACTCTTTATTTTGTTTGTTTGTTTGTTTTTGGCGGAACCGGGGATTGAACTCAGGTACTTGTGTTTGCCAGACAAGCGCTTATTCTACTGAGCCGTCTCCCCGGCCCCTAATCTACATTTCTACCAGCGATGTGTAAGAATTCCTTCCCTCTGCATCCTCACCAGCATTTGGTAGTTCTTGTCTCTTTGATGACAGCCATTCTAACTGAGGTGAGGTGCTGGCTGTTTGAACTTCGGCTTTGCATTTCCCTCGCAGGGTGATCAGAGCAGCTCCTCAGGAGCTGACTTGCTGCATGGCGGGAAGCAGGGGTGGCTCCGGCTCTTGCCAAGGCCTGTGGTGCCCCAGGTGTAGGGGGTGGGTTCCCAGACTCCCAAGATCAGAATGTTGCTGGTCACACAGAAAGAAATGTAGGAGAAGAGAAGCCATGCTTGATTCTCCTCCTTGGCCATTGCTCCCACCCTCTACATCCCCAGGGTAAGCAGGAGCCAACCACCATCGATGCAAAGCACTGAGGAGGCAAGAACGGCTGGTGGAGATCCAGCACTTGCCCCCTGAAAATCTGTAAGTCTAGGGGACTTTTACAGCCTCCAGATACATCCCTGCTTCCACTGTCCCCTCCCCAGGTCCCATGCAGGCTGGGATCTTGCTGTCGACTCCACACTCGAAGCCAAGTCCAAGACAGTTGAGTGGGTCTCTGTGGCCTGCAGTAGAGCTGCCTTTGGGCCTCGTCTATAGCTGGGATGTCAGCCAGGTGAGTATCAGGCAAAGCCAGGTCCCACTGAGAATTAGTCTAAATTGGATTCCAGCACTGCACAGACCCAGAAACTTAATAACTTGCTCTAATGGACCGGTTTTCCTGGAACCCCAATGACCATTGAGTTAAATTCACTCCTTTTTCTCAGAGCTCTTAAAAATGTCAGTCTTGGTTTTCAGGTTTGGCTGATCCTTCCTTTGTCATGGACATGTGGTATTATCTTCTGATGCTGTCAATCTACCAATCCATCCTTCCACCCACCAGTGACAGTACGGGGTAGCAACTTTCTTCTCGACTGACACTCAGCACTATTAAGATGTGTTCCTGACCACCAAGAATTTAGGGTGACAGACACACACAGATAATCAAATACAGAGATCTGAAAGAAGAGATGGAGTTTTAATTAAATGCATATGGATATTGCTCTTCTGTATATCAGGATGGAGCTGAGAAATGGAGACAGTGACTGAGTACACGTCCTGTCATGGAAGTTGGGAGGGAGCATCTCTCTCTCTCTCTCTCTCTCTCTCTCTCTCTCTCTCTCTCTCTCTCTCTCCTCTTTGTCTCTGTCTCTAATTCTCTTTGTCTCTGACTCTGTCTCTTTCTCCTGTTTTCTAACTTTGATGG